CGATAGTCTCTCCCCTATAGTCTCTCCCCTATAGTCTCTCCTCTCTCCCGATAGTCTCTCCCCGATAGTCTCTCTCCGATAGTCTCTCCCCTATAGTCTCTCCTCTCTCCCCGATAGTCTCTCCCCTATAGTCTCTCCTCTCTCCCCGATAGTCTCTCCCCGATAGTCTCTCCCCGATAGTCTCTCCTCTCTCCCTATAGTCTCTCCCCGATAGTCTCTCCTCTCTCCCTATAGTCTCTCCCCTATAGTCTCTCCTCTCTCCCTATAGTCTCTCCCCTATAGTCTCTCCTCTCTCCCCGATAGTCTCTCCCCGATAGTCTCTCCCCTATAGTCTCTCCCCTATAGTCTCTCCTCTCTCCCCATAGTCTCTCCCCTATAGTCTCTCCCCTATAGTCCCCTCGATAGTCTCTCCCGATAGTCTCTCCCCGATAGTCTCTCCCCGATAGTCTCTCCCCGATAGTCTCTCCCCGATAGTCTCTCCCCGATAGTCTCTCCCCGATAGTCTCTCCCGATAGTCTCTCCCCATAGTCTCCCCGATAGTCTCTCCCCGATAGTCTCTCCCCGATAGTCTCTCCCATAGCTCTCCTCTCCTCTCCCCTATAGTCTCTCCTCTCTCCCATAGTCTCTCCCCGATAGTCTCTCCCCGATAGTCTCTCCCCGATAGTCTCTCCCCATAGTTCCCATAGTCTCTCCCCGATAGTCTCTCCCCGATAGTCTCTCCCGATAGTCTCTCTCCCATAGTCTCTCCCCGATAGTCTCCCTCCCATAGTCTCTCCCCGATAGTCTCTCCCCTATAGTCTCTCCTCTCTCCCTATAGTCTCTCCCCTATAGTCTCTCCTCTCTCCCCATAGTCTCTCCCCTATAGTCTCTCCTCTCTCCCCATAGTCTCTCCCCTATAGTCTCTCCTCTCTCCCCATAGTCTCTCCCCTATAGTCTCTCCTCTCTCCCCATAGTCTCTCCCCATAGTCTCTCCCCATAGTCTCTCCCCTATAGTCTCTCCTCTCTCCCCATAGTCTCTCCCCATAGTCTCTCCCCTATAGTCTCTCCTCTCTCCCCATAGTGTCTCTCCTCTCTCCCTATAGTCTCTCCCCGATAGTCTCTCCCCGATAGTCTCTCCCCTCTCTCCCTATAGTCTCTCCCCGATAGTCTCTCCCCGATAGTCTCTCCCCGATAGTCTCTCCCCGATAGTCTCTCCCCTATAGTCTCTCCTCTCTCCCCGATAGTCTCTCCCCTATAGTCTCTCCTCTCTCCCCTATAGTCTCTCCCCGATAGTCTCTCCTCTCTCCCCGATAGTCTCTCCCCGATAGTCTCTCCCCGATAGTCTCTCCCCGATAGTCTCTCCCCGATAGTCTCTCCCCGATAGTCTCTCCCCGATAGTCTCTCCCCGATAGTCTCTCCCCGATAGTCTCTCCCCGATAGTCTCTCCCCGATAGTCTCTCCCCGATAGTCTCTCCCCGATAGTCTCTCCCCTATAGTCTCTCCCCTATAGTCTCTCCTCTCTCCCGATAGTCTCTCCCCGATAGTCTCTCTCCGATAGTCTCTCCCCTATAGTCTCTCCTCTCTCCCCGATAGTCTCTCCCCTATAGTCTCTCCTCTCTCCCCGATAGTCTCTCCCCGATAGTCTCTCCCCGATAGTCTCTCCTCTCTCCCTATAGTCTCTCCCCGATAGTCTCTCCTCTCTCCCTATAGTCTCTCCCCTATAGTCTCTCCTCTCTCCCTATAGTCTCTCCCCTATAGTCTCTCCTCTCTCCCATAGTCTCTCCCCTATAGTCTCTCCTCTCTCCCCGATAGTCTCTCCCCGATAGTCTCTCCCCTATAGTCTCTCCCCTATAGTCTCTCCTCTCTCCCCATAGTCTCTCCCCTATAGTCTCTCCCCTATAGTCTCTCCCGATAGTCTCTCCCCGATAGTCTCTCCCCGATAGTCTCTCCCCGATAGTCTCTCCCCGATAGTCTCTCCCCGATAGTCTCTCCCCGATAGTCTCTCCCCGATAGTCTCTCCCCGATAGTCTCTCCCCGATAGTCTCTCCCCGATAGTCTCTCCCCGATAGTCTCTCCCCGATAGTCTCTCCCCGATAGTCTCTCCTCTCTCCCCATAGTCTCTCCCCTATAGTCTCTCCCCTATAGTCTCTCCCCTATAGTCTCCTCTCTCCCCGATAGTCTCTCCCCATAGTCTCTCCCCTATAGTCTCTCCCCTATAGTCTCTCCTCTCTCCCCATAGTTCTCCCATAGTCTCTCCCCTATAGTCTCTCCCCTATAGTCTCTCCCCGATAGTCTCTCCCCGATAGTCTCTCCCCGATAGTCTCTCCCCGATAGTCTCTCCCCGATAGTCTCTCCCCGATAGTCTCTCCCCGATAGTCTCTCCCCGATAGTCTCTCCCCGATAGTCTCTCTCCCCGATAGTCTCTCCCCGATAGTCTCTCCCCGATAGTCTCTCCCCGATAGTCTCTCCCCGATAGTCTCTCCCCGATAGTCTCTCCCCGATAGTCTCTCCCCGATAGTCTCTCCCCGATAGTCTCTCCCCGATAGTCTCTCCCCGATAGTCTCTCCCCGATAGTCTCTCCCCGATAGTCTCTCC